AAGCCCTGAATATCAGGACTGTCCCTATAAAATTGGGACATCTGGTCACCCTAAGCAGTGTTAAAAGACAAGGGTCCTGTAGTATGTTAGTATACAGACTCATGATATGATTTTGCCATTAGTAAAACATTTTCTCCACTAATTACATCAAATATAGGTACGGTTACTGGAGCCTAAGTGAGCTAGTTGACGGTAGCAGCACAGAAAAGAACCGTTTCATTACGGACATGGCTTAGCTTCCAAAAAACAGGCTTGGCCACGTTACTACCCACAGTAGGGCATTCTATACCGTCCCTGTATCCTATCCCTGCTGTCCCTCAACAAAACAGCCATATTACTATGCAATGGCAGAGCTTTGTGTTAATATATTTAGAGAGAAAAACGACACATTTGCTTGTACAATTCAGTGAACACACTGAGTTAGTTGTACAAGGACTAAAGGTTGGATTAACTGATTCTGCCACTGATCATGGAGATATTGTCAAGGGTAAAGAACGGATGTGTTATGCCAAAATTAGGTTTTCTAGTGCTTGAACCTACTGGCATGAAACTTCCTTGATCATAAAAGGCAAGTGGAATGCATGGTAAAACACTACTAAAAACAACCAGTTCAGTCACACTGCAAAAAGGACACTCATTCTATTGTAACTGAATTTATTATTTATTAGTTATTATTTATTGTGATTTGCATGGGGGGAGCACTAGTTCTGGACCAGGACCCCACTGTGCTAGGTGCTGTACTAACACAGAACAAAAAGATACTCTCTGCCCCAAAGCGCTTACAATCTAAGTAAAAAAAAAATCTACCATGCTATTACACTATTACACTACAGCTAAGAATGCCAATGAATGCCCATAAACGTGGCTGCTTAAGAAATAATTGCTCTATAACTATTAAAGAAAAATTGCTGCTGCAGAAAGCATGGTCATGCATAGACACACATCTATCAGGGGCGAAGGTCTGGGTGGGTGTGGGTATGTGTATGTGGTGATTGCCTAACTCGCCTTTGAATCTTTACTCATGCACCAAAATAAGAGACCTGATTTTTGAAAGGTGCTGAGCAATGTGCAGGTCTAATTAAAGTCTGAGGAATTCAGGATGTTGAAGTGGCATCTCTTATAAGCACTAAATTCACTTGATGTTTTTTCCCCTTAAATTTTAAGGTTAGATTCCTCAAAGTCATTAAGACTCTGATAGTTCCCCTGCACGCTGCCGGCTGGCAGGGTGTAAAGATCGCGGTCTCAAAAAACTGGTATTTTGACTGAGAATTTGGTGGGAAGGGACTTCTACACAGGGAGTCATACCTGCATTACGGTAGGAATGGCTGCCAAAGGGAAGTACTGCGGTAATGTACCATTTGATCTCTGATCTAATTGGGAAAATAGGTAATGCTTAGTCGGGAGGGCGGGGGACAGAGGAGGTTTGTACTTTCTATAATCATGGTTGATCCTCTGCACAGAAGCTATTTGAAATATTTGACACAAAACAACCCCATTGGCTTGTGTGTGTATATAGGGTACAGATGATGTGGGGTTTTGACAGATTTCCCTCCAATTTCCAATTAAAGGGACCTCTTAAGGGGGTAAAATTAGGGCAGAAAAAGAACCTAGACCAAAGTGGCTGGGTTAGACTTCACTCTGAACCCAAATGTTGCAAATTCAGCATAGCAAAATAGTGTTTCCACCTTTTATGAATTTATTATCAAGGCCAAAGTCCTTGTGCTGTGATAGCTGTCATGGCATATTGTGTGAGAAGAGGAGAGAGCTTCCTGTTTTAGCTCGGCATTGTGGAAGCTCATGTTGTCCAATCTGAAAATAAAAATTTTAAGTTTTTGGTGTTGGGGTTTTTTCTGATGACAAATCCAGAGGTTATTGAACTCTTCTAGTTATCAGTCAATGTCCTTAGGCCACTTGATGTTGTAGTAGACGAAACTAGCTGCATATTAATGAATTTATCCTGGCAGCACTCCTGTGAGGTAGAGAAGTAGTATTATCCCCATTTGACCAATGATGAACTGAGGTAGAGAGAACCTGGTAGCAGAGCTTGGAATTGTATCCAGATAGTCCCAGTCCCTTGTCTTTGCTAGACGTATCTTTCACAGATAAGTGAATAACTTATGTATTCACATAATGTATTATGAAATCTGGAATTTTCTAATAGGCTTACATGAGAGCACTCCTGTTCCAAAATTCATCACTTAAACCTGAGCTATGTTTATATTTTTATGGAGCTATGCAGAAATTTTTCCTCCATGGAAAATTTTGACTTTTCATCAAAAAAGAAAACCAAGAAGTTTGGACCCCAAATTGACTAGTTGGAATGTTCCATGTTTAACAGACGCTTTCCATGGAAAACTTTGTTTAAGCAAAAGTCAATGGTGACAGAAAATGTGTGACCTGCCTTAATTTTTCCATGAGGATGACTAACAGCACTGTGATAACCTATTTTTCAAAGGGACACTATTAAGGGCCCAAAAGCAAGCTATTCCGCTGGTTAGGAAAGATAGAAAATGTGGCAAAAGACCACCTTGGCTTAACCATGAGATCTTGCACGATAAATATGAGTCAACAGTGTGATGCTGTTGCAAAAAAAGCAAACCTGATTCTGGGATGTATTAACAGGTGTGTT